CGGTACCGACTCGATGGCACCTAACAACAACAACAACTTGCCTCCAATACCACCCTGTGAAAGCAGGCCCATTCCTCCAGTCAGCTGAAGCAAATCTTCCATTACTTGCTTGCAAAAAGCAGATGGCATAGAATTCCCCCACATGATAGTGTCAGTGGGCTCAAATTTTAATGCTACTTGGAGTCAGTTTGTGGATCATGACAAGCTATGGCAACATTTTGGAGAATGAGTATTCTGGAACACTTAACTGTGCTCACAAGGAACCAAGAGGCAGTTGTTTGAGCAGAATTATCTGAGAAGATGGATTACATGAAGAAAAACGTGGCATCAGGATTGAAGGAAGACTCATTAACAACCTGCGATATGCAGATTATACCACCTTGCTTGCTGATAGTGACTTAAAGTATTAATGAAGATCAAAGACCACAGTTTGAGAATGTGTTGCATCTCAAAATAAAACAAAATTCCTCACCACTGGATCAGTAAATAACATCCATATAAATGGAGAAAATATTCGAGTTGTCAAAGACTTCATTTTACTCAGATCAACCATCAACACTCACGGAAGTCGTAGTCAGGAAATCAAACAATGCATTGCACTGGGCAAATCTGCTGCACAAGAACTCTTGGAAATATTGAAGAGCAAAGATGACAGTTTGAGGACTAAGGTGCTCCTGACCTATGCCATGGTGTTTTCAATAACCTCATATGCATATGAAAGTTGGACAGTGAATAAAGAAGACCATAGAAAAACTGATGCATTTAATTTATGGTATTGGGGAGAATATTAAAAGTACCATGGGCTGCCAAAAGTACAAACCAATCTGTGTTGGAAGAAGTACAGCCAAAATGCTCCTTGGAAGCAAGGCTGACCAGACTTTGTCTCTCATACTTCAGAAATATTATCAGGAGGGACCAGTCCCTGGAGAAGGATATCATGTTTAGTAAAGTGGAGGGGTAGAGAAAAAGAGGAAGACCCCAAAGGAGATGGATTGGCACAGTGGCAGCAGCAATGGGCTCAACCTTGGCAGAGATTGGCACAGGGCTGGACAGTGTTTTGTTCTGTTGTGCATGGGGCCACTATGACTCGGTAC